TTTATAAATTACATTTTCTTTTTAGTTCTTCAAAATTACAATTGTTATACTATAAATAATTTGTTTACCTTTTTTAAAATTATTTTCAGACTATTTCAATCATAAATTCAACATTTAGTGTTTCACTTGAAATTTTATTTTTGCAAACTATATTATTATTTTTTTACGATGCCCTAACTATAAAAGTATTTTGTTCGTGCCTGCGCATGGAAGTTTATATACAAGTATAGCTGTCATGTATGCATATGTAGTGTAACCATAAGCGTACTTTGTAATATTTAAAGTAAAGTGTATATTATTATATCATTTTTGTTAATTTATACTTATGGCATCACCAGCACCCAAATCGCCAGAGCAATCTGAAAGAAATAGAAAATATGATAGACAATTAAGGTATAGAATGTAATATCACATTTACTTTAGGATTAGAAGATTATTTTCTGTACTGAATCAAACTAACTAGTACCTTATGTTTTTCTTCTTGTTAGAGTTAATTATTTACACATAATTAGATAGTTTAATCATACGTTTAAATCATATATACCTATAATATCAATATATAGGTTATGGGGTGATCATGGTCAAGTTGCATTAGAAGGAGCGCATGTTTGTGTCATAAATGCTACAGGACTTGGTACAGAAATTTTAAAATCCTTAGTCTTACCAGGCATTGGAGCATTTACAATTGTAGATGGCAAAAAAGTTACTAATGAAGATATCGGGGCAAAGTATGTACATAAAAATATTATCAATTATATTGATTCATTAACATGTTAGATGTATTTTAATTGATTTGCTGAATAAATGTGAATAGTTTCTTTCTAGAAGCAGACAGTGTAGGAAAATCAAGGGCACAAGTAGCAACGCAAATGCTTTTAGAACTAAACTCAGATGTTAGAGGTGATTATATAGATGAGGAGTCTGAGCAAATTTTATATAATAGTCCAGATTTTTTCAATAATTTTACTGTTGTTATAGCTACTTCGCTAGCTGAAAAGTAAGAATAAATTTAACCACAAATATTATTACAGAAATTTAATAGTAGTTTAAATTTTGTATTTTAAAAGAAAAAATTTTCAGATCTTTAATTCTTTTATCACAAAGACTTTGGGAATTGAATATACCCTTAATAGTATGCAGAAGTATAGGATTCATTGCATATATGAGAATTCAAGTGAAGGAATATACAGTCATAGAAACACATCCAGATAATGAAATTCCAGATTTACGTTTAGATAGACCATTTGAGACACTAAAAAAGCATCTTGATACAATACATCTTGAAGAATTGAGTTTTAAAGATCATTCTCATGTACCATATTTAGTTATACTGTATAAATTTTTAGAAAAATGGCTTTTAAATAAAAGAGATTTACCTAAAAGCTATAAAGAAAGACAACAATTAAAAGAAATGATAAAAGAAGGAATGAGAAGAGAAGAGAGTGACACTACAAATAGCGAAGAAAATTTTGAAGAAGCTATCAGAGCTGTTAATACATGTGTAGGATGTACTGAGATCCCAGATAATGTGAAGAATATTCTTAATGATGATCAGTGTATTAATTTAACAGCTAAGGTATAAGAAACAAATATTAATGTATTGATACACTACATAATTACAAATTGCCTTAATATATTTTTAGAGCAGTTCATTTTGGATTATTGCAAAAGCAATAAGAGATTTTGTTGAGAACGAAGGAGCTGGATTCTTACCATTAAAAGGTACTATACCAGATATGACAGCAGATACGGAAAAATATATAACTCTTCAGCAGATGTAAGATTCCTTTTTATGGCAAATTTGTCATGAAGATACTAATTCCTCTTGTTGCATTTATACAAACTTATTTATTACAGTTATCACAAACAAGCGGAAGCTGATGCGGAAGCAGTATGGCGACATACATTGCAATTATTACGACAATTGGGAAAATCGTCAGATTCTATTTCCGAAAGAGATGTTAAATTATTTTGCAGACATGCTTCAAATATACATGTGGAAAGGGGAACACGTATTGCGGATGAATATGATTCCAAAATCTTTGATGCAAGTAATATAGGTAATACGTGTACATATATAATGTACAAATACAATCTGCTAAATGCAGATGTAGAGATTCGATTTAAAAAAATTAATTTTCTCAAAAAAATTTTATTCTGCTCTTTTTTGAGTAACCTTCGTATAAAAAAATCACAATCTTTCTGTTTATACCATTTTATCATATATACAGGGTGTTCCACCAACTCTGTTTATCTCAAATTTCTTCATTATCTTAAGTAACAAGTGAAAACACTACTTACAAAAGTTATATGACTGTAAGAAAAGCAACATAGTGGTGACAATAGTTTCAGGTGGAGACTAGGAAGAGATCTGGAGGTCATTTTTGTTTTTCTGAATGGAATGTTCAATTTTTTATGGACAAATTAATAGAATAGCGAATTCTGAGTATAAACTTACCAAGGTTCATTTATCCTAAAACTTGTTCCTCAGATATTTGACTTTGTCAAAACAATGGATATATTTAAGGTGGATAGAGTTGGTGTGACACCCTATGTATGCGTGTGCGTGCTAATAATATCATTATTTTTCAGTGCAAAGTTTAGAAAATCCAGAGAGTATGATGATTTATTATGTTATTCTTAGAGGGGTTGAAAAATTTCAATTAGAATACAACTCATATCCTGGAGAATTTGATGATCAAGTAGAACCAGACATAGTTAAACTTAAAGTGTGTTTTCTATAAAATAGCAATATTAATATTTAAAAAAATAAAAGAACGTGTAAGTTCATTAAATTAATAAAACTTAATTATTTATTAGGCATGTATAACAAAACTATTGAGTGAATGGGGATGTGGGTCATTGGCAAAAGATGATTATGTACATGAGTTTTGTCGGTTTGGTGGATCAGAATTGCATTCAGTATCAGCATTCTTAGGCGGCCTTGCAGCTCAGGAAGTTATAAAATTTGTTACAAATCAATATAAACCAGTCCATAACACCTTCATATATGATGCAGTGACATCAAGTTCTGGAACATTTTTCTTTTAATATTAAGTATTTCATTAATAATATACATCTGTATCAAATAAAAAAAAAACACAATTTTGTAGTTTACACAATAAGCTTTGTACGTTTTTAATCCTTTGCTCTTTTTTAATACATATTTTTATAAACGTTCATTTTATCATGTGATGAAGAAATACATTAAAACTCAAGTTGAACGAGTATAATATCAACACTTTAATGTAGTAATTAACTGATACACAAGTGATTTCATCTTTCTTTATAATAAACCACTAGTAATAACTATTACTTATAGTAAATATATATAAGGTATAAAGCAAATTAATATTTCATAATATCTTATAATCAACATTGTACGCAAATATTAGTTTACCGGTGTTCTAGTCTCAGTACAACTTAATAAAATGAATTGCGCTTTGATTTTTTAATTCCTTTGTTTTGTACGATATTAGTATCTTATGTTATATTGTTATATAGACCATAAATTAACCGTATCTTGAATCATCTAATTAATCATTTACTATAATTAAAGATACTATGATATAAAACTTTGACATTTCTTTCTAATTAAGCTATTTATGATTAATAACCAAAATTTATATTATTTTTTTATCAGCTGCATTTAATTCAAAGAGTTTTGATACAGAAGTGGTTATGCAAAATCTTGGGAAAGTAATGGTATTGATATTGATGAATACAATATCAATAATACGCGCTTTGTACTTTACATGCACACTTAGCACCGATAAATATATGTAAAATTAATAATAAATTATCCTTATATAATAAAATAACAATTTGTCGGTAATTCTCCTGTGGCAAAGAAACATAAAAAATTTCATAATAAGTAATAGTAATACAATTTTACTTAAGGGAAATAGATGAAAGATAATCACATTAAAGATCATTAGTTTCTGAGGACATTAAGAATTATAAAAAACCTGAAAGTATTATTATAAACGAATGACAGATTGGCAAAAGAAGGAAAATACAATGTTAACATCAACAGGAGAACACTTACTATTTTTAGACTTAAATCTATGAGAAAAACACCGGTAGAGTATTACAACAACTTTTGTAGCGTACACTTTCTTATTTGCTAAAATCTGAGTCGTATAGTTTGTTAATCTTTTTTGGTTTTTATCCTACAAAAAGTATATTTGTTTATTGTTATAGTTTATGAGAGTAACAAATGTTTCTACAATAAAAATGGTTTGAAACTATTTACATAATTATTTTAAACCTTCATATTTACACATATGCTAGCACATTCTGTTCATTGCTGTTATTATTATTTATTCAACACACTGAATATTCTTATTTTTCATTAAAGAATTGTTACTTTGATAAGTAAACAATGGTTTTAGTTGAATGTACATAGAAGAAATTTTTTGTTCAGAAAGCAGTGATAATACAATAAGAAAAAAGCAAGAGTTATATAAATTAAAAATTTTTGTAAAATAAAATAACTATTTTGTACGATTGTATATTTACAAAGGGAAAATATAGGACTGTTTAATTATGAAACTATACGACTCCATCATTGAGATAGGAATTGGAAGATTTTGATACGTAAGTGCAGAAAACCTTGAAGGTTTAAGATGTTAATAAGATCAGAAATATGTTTTAGAAGTACTACTAAACCTTCTGCGATAAATCCTTGGTACAAGAAATATTAGTAATCTGTTACACTATTGGTATTCTAAAGAAGAATCTCTAATTAATTAGGAATATTAAGGTTTTAGGCAAAAATTACAATATAGTATAGATAAATCTCAAGATGTAACAAATGTTGACATTTGTTGAAATTGTTTAGAAAGAAAAATGCTATTTATTTTAATGCTAAATATTAAAGTTACTATGTTGTTTTTGCAGAAATTTTAAGTTTATTCCTTCTTAAACATCAAATCATGAAGTATTACTGGAGGAGTTAAAATCATTACATAGTCCATTTGAACTTTATACATCTTAAAAAGAAATTATATAGTTTAGAAAGAAATATCACGACAAACACGAGCACTAAATGATGGTATTTCGCTTTAAGTGATGGTTGTTATGATTACTTCAGTATTTAAAAATTTATAGAAGTATTGTTCTTTTGAACAATATTTAATAGCATACATTTGAACAATAGTATATAACATATACTGTGATTTTATATAGTATATAATGTGATTTTTCAATTGACTTGTGTTATAATAAATTAGTGTTACATAGTAGCATGAAGAATGTGTACCAATGATTTCAACAAAATTTATTACATGCATACATTGCATGTATAAATTGTAAGATACGATTTTTATTTCTATAGAAAGAACCCTAATGGTCATGATTTTTCTTGTTTCACTGATATTCTTCTTTTAAACGAAATCATACAAATATTGTCATTTAAGATCTAATAAATTTAGCATACAGTATAAAAGAATGAAAAAGTGCAACATTTTTTTTATAACAATACTCAACTCAAATATTGTAATTTACATTTTTAATTTATTTTTCATTACCATTTTATTGATGCACTATTTATTACCATTTTTTTTTACATATTTTTTACCACATGAATTGTTTTCCAGAATATATGCCTTTTATTTAATTTATTTTGTATTATTTTATTACCGTTTTTTAAAACAACTTTTTAATATTTATCATATTAATAAATTAAAAATGTAAAATGCAATTAACAGTAATATAATTTGAATCAATGTTGAACCATTAAGGGTTTTTAGAGAATGTTTTGGGAAGTTTATAAAAATTAGATACAAATAAAATTATGGTAATTCTCTTTTTGACATTATACACAATATCAATCTTA